ATCATTTGAAAAGGTCGGCTGATTCTAGGACAGCTTACATGACACAGGTGCCCGGTCTAATGTGGCCAATTGGGAACAGAATCGCAACAAATTAAACTCAGTGCCTAATGAATGCACCTTTAATGACTATCCCTTGTTATTTCCCGACTATACAGAAAATTAACCAGCAGTCCACGCAAAGATAAAATAGAATTAATTAGATGCTCTTATGAAGATTCAAGTAAAACCTGATACTGATAGCTGCGCCAAGAAATACTTATTTCGTTGCCAATTTATCTCCAAGAAGCCTTATGGCGGATTTCCACTTCAGCCAGCTACTTATTATAAATTTAAACGTTATTTCTTAAAACAAGAAATTGAGCTTGAAAATCACACTTTTTACTGGGAAACATAACTTAAAAAAACATATCACTGTTGAAACAGACGCTCAAGCAAAACTTTAAAAAGTTGGCTGAAAATGGTTGATTACTGTACCAATTATCATCCCTATCTTAAAATTAATTTCGTCGTGAAACGTATGGAACGACAACGGGTAACTGTATCACTGACTAATGAAGAAGGAATCAAGGAAGGTCAAGTAACGGAACAGGACGCCAAGTACCGGCATTGGAGAGGCGTTTGCCGATCCTAGGGATGCCCCCTCCGCGGCGTCCGAACTTAAAGAAAAATACGTTTTTTTCGAAAACAAAATGAACACTATTCAACTTGCTTGCATGAGAAACAGTTTACCATGAACTGCAGAGTAGTACGTGAGTAATCGAAATCAGTTTACTTTTTACTATTTACAGGTATGCTCCCCTCCCGCTGCATCCAAGGCGCAACGCAGCTTCCTGGATCCACCAGAGTGGAAAGGGGGAAACTTACAAGTTACAACACAGGCAGCACTCCTCGTGAGAACGGCTTCCGGAGCCAGGTCAAGGGCCGCGCTACTTCCCATTGCAGCAAGGTAAGGTGACAATCACAGAAAACCCACTGCTCGCTGTAAGAACAGGATAAAGTAGCAGTCATGTAGCACCCAATTATCCCATTTGGGCAAATAGTAACAACGCTAATTTTCAGGAACAAGACGCCTGTACATTGAAACAGGGCAACTGTATGTAGGAAAGGTGAAGCAGGGCAAGAATACACAAGAAAGCATCGTATTGGAAGTACCACAAGGAAGAGGAACAGTTTCTACACCATAGCCAGTAAAAATCACTTCGCGCTCACAAATACAGCGCGTAAGCCGTGAATAAAGTACATGTTATAACATTTATACCAATTTCACATGCTCACGGTGTTTGCATGCACACGGGCTCCATCCACAATCTCTCAAACTTACGTCCAAACTCACAAACTCACTCACATTCACACTCACATGCTCACTCACATTCGCACTCGCATTCGCACTCACGTGGTCAACTCAGGACGACACGAACTCCCAAGCCAGACTTTGTCGCGGAGCACGCACGCACGCACGCACGCACGCACGTACGCACGCACGTCACGTCGCCTCATCGCGACGTCGCCTTGTATATCCTTCTTTCCTCGTGCCAAGAGGCATGTGGGCACCTCAAGTGCGCGGAACCTCCTACCTAAAGCGATTTAGGCACCTCCAGTACCTTCATCCAAGCGCACGTTCTCCTGTAGATGGGTACGCCCACCTCATGGACGCGGGGTCTCGTACTACCTACCCCATGTGACTAGCTCAAGTCACAGCTCATCGCGATGTCTCCTACCTACAGCAGACCATGTGACGAGCCCATGCGATCCCAGCTTAGCGCGATGTCTCCTACCTAAACAGAGCATGTAGCAGCAGTAGCAGCAGCGCCCGCTGTCCTTCCGCACCGCCCGCTCGCTCCACCCGACCCCTCCTGTGTCTGGTATCATCGCTCTCTCCCCTCTCGCTCTCCGCGCCACGCCCTCCTCTCTCTCGCTCCGCGATGTTCCCTCCTCTCGCCGTGCATGTTGCTTCCTCCGTGGTCTCGCTAACTTGGAGTCCGCCTGGCCATCACCGCCCACAGTCTATACCAGCTTCCGAAGCATGTATTAAAATAGCGCAACAATGCGGTATTTCAAGTCACCACCGAGTCAGTCGGTTCATGACAAACCGACGAATGACGTCAGCCCCGTTTGGAATCACATAGTACGACAACGTTTGGCTCATATCGTAGAAACAGTATGCGGGGACCAAGTGTCCAGCGTCAACACCGGTTGGCAGGCGCGCCCCACGTTGGGCGACAGTACGATACAAACAGACAACAAGAACATAGCGCCAGCCCAGGCGTCTGGGCTCGGTCTCCGCACAACGCGACTGTGAACATTGACTGTGACGTTAACAATTGTAAGCTCAACATCTTAAAACACTGCGAGCACACCACTGAACGCCTGAACGGCTGCGAGCACCCATCGACGGAGCACCGTGTCCACCGCGGCACACATGGAGAACGTCTATACACAAGACGTGTGAGCCGTCTGGGCGGCTGCGCCAGTAGTGACGTCATAGTGACGTCACACCGGCGCAGCTGGCGCCGACAAATCGGGTCCCGATTACCCGTACAGCCTCCATATGACGTCGTGACATGCCTCTCGGACAGTCGCCCTGCCCGGCCGACAACATCCACACATAACATCCCCGGCGACGCCATGTTAACATGCCCCCAATGACGTCATTTTGACGTCAAGACTGCACCGAACCTGTGAGATCGGCCGTACACGGAATACGCGCCTGACTAGCCAGTGTAGGTGACCGTGACTCTACCCGGACAGACAGGCAACGTCCAACGTTCAACGTCCAACGTCCAACGTTCAACGTCATGGTCATCCAACACCAACCACGAGCGGTCCATGGGACATTTCCACATATACACGTCCATTGTTGTGGATATTGGATTCAAACATACACGTCCGTTGTTGTGGACATTATATCCACAGATACACGGCCATTGTTGTGGACGTTGGGTCCACAGATTCACGTCCATAGTTGTGGACATTGGGTCCACATGTTCCACTATGGTCACTGAAATACGCCACAACAGTGGCGATGGCGCTCAGCGCATTGACATCTAACCTACGTTCACCAGTGTGACTTCTAAACCATTCGCGAGTTTGGCATCCCTTCTGACGTCATTTCTAAAATAAACATTCAAATTGTAGCCGTGTAAAAGCCACCGAAACACAGACGTTGAACATCCAGTATGATGGCGGAGGCTCCCGAAGCACCAGTAACGCCCTCGTAACCGCGGCGGCGGCGGCGGCGCCCCAAGTTCCCCATGATCGTCGCCCAATGACGCCCTAGTCCACCACTGACGTCATCCGCCCGGCCCGGCCGCGCCGCGTCTCGCCTGCACACGCCGCCGCCGCCGCTCCCTTCCGTCGATACCAGACACAATACGAGGGACCGGGTGGGGCTGGGGCGCCAGGCCTTCCTTTGCGCGCCCGGCCACCCCACTAGACCGAGTCTGTTCGCGACCGCGCGCGAGGCTTCACGTTCGCTGTCTCTCGCGCGATGTACTGCCCCCGATATTGAGCGATCTACACGGAGTCTGCACGAGCTCCAGGACTTACCGCTCCTATCGCCGACAGTGATTGTCCGCCCAGCCCGGCCAGTTTGCTCACATCGAAACTGATTTTCACCTGTCCCGCCGCAGTGTCAACGTAGTCGACCACCTCGCCCGCCCCGCCGCCGCCGCCGCCGCCGCTACTAGACGTGGTCGTCGTGACCGACGAGTCGGGTTCGGCGTCTATGACCAGACGCGCTTCGTCCCCCGAGCTGTGCCTCACGCCGCCGCCGGGCTCCGCCTCACCGCGCGTCGCTACCGGCGACGAGACATGCCCCGTCGCTCTGCCCAGGGTGTCTTTGGGCCACATGTCCGAAGACCTGCGGGATGCCTCGTCGTCCTCCCCGGGCATCTCTTGGCACGCTTCCTTATAGCGACCCTCATCGAACGCCCTTCGACACCGCTCCCACTGGATTTTCCTGGCGGCCGATCCTAGCGACGCAGGAGGTGTAGGACCGGGGGACTGCAGTGTCCGAGGCGCTCTCGAGGGCGGCGGTTGGGCCGGGTACGCCGAACCCACCCCCGGAGCCGGGAGGATGCGGATCAGGTCCGGGGGTGCTGAACGGGGCTTGGTCGGTGCCGCCGACACCATGGAACGAAACTCGGGCCGGACAGCAATAGTCGGCCGGCTGGTCGGAGGCGGGAACTCCACTCTTTCTAGCCTCTCGGCCCTTTCGGCCCTTTCAGCGCGCTCGGCCGCTTCATTCCTTTCCACCTCGGCTCTTTCCGCCCTCTGAGCCTCAACCCTCTGAGCCTCGGCTCTCTGCACCCTCTCAGCATGCTCCGCCAGCGTAGCCAGGTTCTCCGCAGCAGCAGCCGCCGCCCTGGGATCATACTGCGGGGGTATACCGAGCATCGACTGCGCATTCACCACAGTAGGAATGTACAACCGTCCAGACGCGGCACTGGCGGCAGCGGCGTAGTCGACAGGCGTCTGCCAGGGGGACTGGAGATCAGTGCCACCCCCAGCACCGCTGGAGCTCAGGGATAGGTCCATGGCGCCGTCGGGCGCGCGGGTCGGGGTCGGTGGCAGGGAGATAGGAGGCGGCGGGGGTCGAGGGGTCATTGCTGCTGGCGGCGGCAGCGGCGGCGACGGCGCGTGATGGAGGCCCCTCCTCCGCCCCGGCTCCCTATCGGCGTACCGAATCACATCGGCAGGGTACCTGGCATCCCCGGTCAACACTCGTGACTCAGCGGCAGCGGCGGCGGCGGCGGCGCGGCGCGACGGGCTCAGGCGGGGCCTTTCTGGGGGACTCGCCCTGTGACGATCGGGGGGACTGCGCGAGCGGCGCCGCTCCGGACTGACGTAGCGCCGCTCTGGACTGACGTAGCGCCTCTGGGGGCTGTAGCGGCCGCCGTCGGGACTGTACCGTCCCAGGTAGGGTTCACGTGCCGGTGGCGGCAGGCCGCGCTGTGGCAGATAGCGCGGCTCGGGCTCCAGTGACGGCCACGGCTCCTTACCTTGCTCCGAATCGAAATAAAACCGCTTCGAGTCGCTGGGGCCACCACTCTCGGCTGGCATCAGCATACGCTTGGTGGTACCTGCGGCAGGGCAAAGACCAGGGACGTATCAGCATAGTATGGTTGTTACGGATGTTTGAAGGGTTCGCTATTTGCAAAGCAGTCTTGGTAAGTTTGTAACTTTGAACAGAAGATTTGTTGCGCAATATAAATCGCTGTTTCCAACTCTTTTTTTGCAAGACATCAGAACGGATATATGCATCAAATAAAACAGCTCGACTGGAAAGCAAACTGGACATTATGGTTTATGTGCGAAAATCAACCATATCATACACAACGTCTAAAAGTCGTCCATTAAAACTGTTACAAAGCAAGCTAAAGGTGTACTAAATGTTACAAAATATGGCAAAGTGAGCAGAAAATACTTAGCAATGCACCATACTGATAAAGTGAGCGATATTTTGAAAGCATTTAAACACAGGGTTTTTATATACACTTCCGCTGATCAAGTTCGGTAAATGCACTTAAGTGATTTAGCGATGGTTTCGGATGTAGGTATCTCAACACCGGAGTACACTGCTTATACACTTACGCTAATCGCAATCGTCCTTGGTGTACTGAAAGCGTTTAAGGCGATGGTTTGCGTGTTTATCAACACCGGGTATATAAACATACTTACGTTGGTCGCACTCGGTACATTTGAAGTGTTTTGTGATACTCGGGTGCAGTATAGTGGTTAAGCGCAGCATCCAGTTTATTAAACACTTGTAGGTATACACTTACGCTGATCGCGCTCGGTGTACTGGAAGTGTTTCGGCTCGGAAACACAGCCATCGGAGGGTCGCTCCAGCTGGATGAACACCCGCACCGGACTCCGGATCTCCTTATCGCGGTACGGCGGAGTCCTGAGGAGAGAAAACACACATATAAAGGGTCAGAGCCGGGGTACTGAGGGAGATAACACTAACGGGGAGTTATAACGGAATATTGAGGGAGTAAGCACACGGGGAGAGTTAAAGCCGGCGTCACGAAGGGAAACACATAAGTACGGGGAATAGGAGACGCAGTACTGAGGAAGAAACACAAAGAGGGAGAGCTAGATGGGTCCTGAAGGGAAAACACATCAGGGAAGAATTAAATGGGGTCCTGAAGGGAAACCACGTAAGTGGAGAGTTAATGATACGGTCCTGATGGTAAAACACTTAAGGGAAGAGTTAGATGGGATCCTGATTTTTCCGTCATATTGAAAAGACTCGCTTCGCTCGCTGCACTCGCTCGCTCGTAATAAATGGTACTACTCACTGGAAGATGATGGCATATTGATGATGACACTTGATGACACGGCCGTAGTCCTGCCAAATCGTCTGGTGACTGCTGTCCTCCTCGAATACCAGAACCTTGATGTCATCTGGCGACAGAAAAAAGAACCGGTTACAGAGGGGACACAGAAACAGCTGCACGTCCTAACGAGCTACTCAGGCGAGCGACATTTACCATAATTCATTCTCAGCACACTGTGCCGGTTACCTTCACGGTGGAACACCGCTAAAAGCATGTCGTTTGTTATGTTACACACACAACTAACCAGTATACGCTCAATTCAAGCAAGAAGAAAAAGATCCGTACGTTTGAACAGCCCATCAAAGCAGAGATACAGTAATCTACAGTTTCTCGGCAACTGGAAGGACTGTCAATGAAAAAATGTTTGGCGTGAGGAATGATGCGTGAAAAATGTCACGACGGCTATCATGTTCATTTAACATAGACGTATCATCAGAGGGAGTCAGATGTTTTAAAGGTATGAAGCTATTAAATATGGCATGTTGCCTCCCCGCCATATATGACGTGATGAATGTCCTATCCTCCTTACGGATTCAATTAAAATACAGTCTGATATTGAGGCTTACTCGAAACCTCACAGCCGTCCTGAATATAGAAAGCTGCCCTGTAGCATCCAGCATTGCTCACAGACGGACTTGTCAAGAAATGCGCAGAAGGCAACTGAGCAAATATCAAACAGTGATTAGTCTTACTGCTGTTTTGTCAAACACGTTAGGCGTTTCAATTTCAAGTTCTTCCATAAATGCATTTTGCTGAGTCGTTTCGCGTAACAGACGACGCAAAACAACTCTGGGAAGAGTTAGCGAGAACGGTCGCAGCACAACATCCGACAGAACTAACTAAATAATTCAATTACTATGACAACGTTAACATCACAGAGCATTCTCGAAAAATCAGTCACATAATGTATCCACGAAACATTGTCAATGAACCATCAAAGCCATTACGGCGTAATGACGATACGACGCTGTTAGCCTATAGGCTACAACCAGCCGACATTTTTCCTAACATAAACCATGTCTAGCCATATCTACAGTTCACAGTAATTCACGGGGAATATTTGTTTCTGGTCCCTAAAAAGCTGTTTCTGGCACCTAATTGCTGATCAGCCCCAAAATGCTTATTCGATCCTAATATCTGAATCTGGCACCTAATTGCTTCCACACAGCCTAAAGTTGCCAGATCGTGTAGTTGAACTCCGTATTTGCTGTTTGCTGATTCAGCACCAAAACCAAAACATCCAGCACCTATTTTATTCCACGTTTGCCTACCTAATTCGCGTAATCTTCCTGATTTTATGTATCCTAACAACATGAACGTTGCATTCGGTGATGTCAAGTGCCATTTTCGCCAGTGGAGATAATGATTAATGCCATTTCTAGCCAAAAGAGAATCACTAGCCAGCTATGGTGCAGCATAGCAAGACGCTCCTATACCAGCCCGCTATGTAGAGACTAGAGATTATTGCACCCTCAGCCATTTTAACGTGAAAAGTTTGGATCCGTCACTTCCAGCCAGGCTCTCAGGTCATAAACTGGAGTAAAGCAAAATGTCAACTCTGAACAGACATGCCACGCAACCGGCCCTCTTTTCAATATTATTAGCTTTCTGCAATCATCGTCTGACTCCATCTTGATCAAACGCAGCATCCGGTTTCTACAGGGGCGTTTGACTGATCGGCCACACAATAACCAAAAACAAAATCAAAGCTTCATGCACACATGACATAAGTAAGAAACGGATGAAAAAGGCACAACCACGGCACAACTCTGCGCGGCAAACATCGGACAATGTCCCACGCAAGATCCCGCGTTTCTTCAGCGGTCTTGAACGGAATGAAAACATTACATTTCTTTTTTGGAGCTATTTGATGACGTCAAAAATACAATACCCGTTTTAATGGTCAAAATCGAGACAATTACTCACAAAAATGTTTCCCTTTAAGCATTATAAATAAATACTTTTAAATATTTAAATGACATTGTTTTTTCAAACAAATTAATATTATTTGCTTACTTAAACGTCATATACAATGCTGAGATCACTACGGGGCTGTCTTAGAGTGTAGCTGCACTGGCAACCTTTAGGCTAGACTCCAGGGGTCATTATACCAGAACAACATGATTCTACCAGCCAGTAGTTCATTTTTCTACTAGATTGGTGCTACGCTCAGCATTTAGGTGCCAGATTCAGAAAAAAGAGTAAGGCGTGCCGATGAATAGGTGCTAGAAACAGCTAATTAAGGTCATTTTCCATGATTGGTGCTGGAATCCACCAAATAGGTGCTGAGGACCAATTTTGGGGCGAGTCAGCTTTTAGGTGCCAGAAATAGCTTTTCTGGGACGCAATTAAATGGCGTTAGGTCACATACCGCGAACATTATTCCGTTACCACACCAAAAAATCCCTCATCCATAACTCATAACTCCGCAAAACATCATCTACACCATGCAAATCTTTCCACAAATTTCGCCATATTTGCCCCACCCCGAATTGACACACACTTCAATACCGGATGCACGTGCGTGCGCAAACTAACCGGATAGCTCTGCCGTTAACGATCTTTCCCGGACAGGCATTGCCCGGTAACAGTTCTCCATCTACGCAGCGCCGACGGATCAAAGCCGGTTTCCATGGCAACCGATGTGACGCCAATGTATGAGTGGGCGAGCACCCTGGGCGAGCACCGCGACAGCAGTTCTCAAGGCTTCTGAATGGGTCGCTCAATACCAAATCGCGACCGAGAGGGAGGGCCGGGATCACGTGGGTCACGTGGTACGTGCTGACGTGGCGCCTGAGGCACGTAGAGGTTGTTAGTGAGACGAGTAGAGGTTGTTAGAGAGACGAGTAGAGGTTGTTAGTGAGACGAGTAGAGGTTGTTAGTGAGACGAGTAGAGGTTGTTAGAGAGACGAGTAGAGGTTGTTAGTGAGACGAGTAGAGGTTGTTAGTGAGACGAGTAGAGGTTGTTAGTGAGACGAGTAGAGGTTGTTAGTGAGACGAGTAGAGGTTGTTAGTGAGACGAGTAGAGGTTGTTAGTGAGACGAGTAGAGGTTGTTAGTGAGACGAGTAGAGGTTGTTAGTGAGACGAGTAGAGGTTGTTAGTGAGACGAGTAGAGGTTGTTAGTGAGACGAGTAGAGGTTGTTAGTGAGACGAGTAGAGGTTGTTAGTGAGACGAGTAGAGGTTGTTAGTGAGACGAGTAGAGGTTGTTAGTGAGACGAGTAGAGGTTGTTAGTGAGACGAGTAGAGGTTGTTAGTGAGACGAGTAGAGGTTGTTAGTGAGACGAGTAGAGGTTGTTAGTGAGACGAGTAGAGGTTGTTAGTGAGACGAGTAGAGGTTGTTAGTGAGACGAGTAGAGGTTGTTAGTGAGACGAGTAGAGGTTGTTAGTGAGACGAGTAGAGGTTGTTAGTGAGACGAGTAGAGGTTGTTAGTGAGACGAGTAGAGGTTGTTAGTGAGACGAGTAGAGGTTGTTAGTGAGACGAGTAGAGGTTGTTAGTGAGACGAGTAGAGGTTGTTAGTGAGACGAGTAGAGGTTGTTAGTGAGACGAGTAGAGGTTGTTAGTGAGACGAGTAGAGGTTGTTAGTGAGACGAGTAGAGGTTGTTAGTGAGACGAGTAGAGGTTGTTAGTGAGACGAGTAGAGGTTGTTAGTGAGACGAGTAGAGGTTGTTAGTGAGACGAGTAGAGGTTGTTAGTGAGACGAGTAGAGGTTGTTAGTGAGACGAGTAGAGGTTGTTAGTGAGACGAGTAGAGGTTGTTAGTGAGACGAGTAGAGGTTGTTAGTGAGACGAGTAGAGGTTGTTAGTGAGACGAGTAGAGGTTGTTAGTGAGACGAGTAGAGGTTGTTAGTGAGACGAGTAGAGGTTGTTAGTGAGACGAGTAGAGGTTGTTAGTGAGACGAGTAGAGGTTGTTAGTGAGACGAGTAGAGGTTGTTAGTGAGACGAGTAGAGGTTGTTAGTGAGACGAGTAGAGGTTGTTAGTGAGACGAGTAGAGGTTGTTAGTGAGACGAGTAGAGGTTGTTAGTGAGACGAGTAGAGGTTGTTAGTGAGACGAGTAGAGGTTGTTAGTGAGACGAGTAGAGGTTGTTAGTGAGACGAGTAGAGGTTGTTAGTGAGACGAGTAGAGGTTGTTAGTGAGACGAGTAGAGGTTGTTAGTGAGACGAGTAGAGGTTGTTAGTGAGACGAGTAGAGGTTGTTAGTGAGACGAGTAGAGGTTGTTAGTGAGACGAGTAGAGGTTGTTAGTGAGACGAGTAGAGGTTGTTAGTGAGACGAGTAGAGGTTGTTAGTGAGACGAGTAGAGGTTGTTAGTGAGACGAGTAGAGGTTGTTAGTGAGACGAGTAGAGGTTGTTAGTGAGACGAGTAGAGGTTGTTAGTGAGACGAGTAGAGGTTGTTAGTGAGACGAGTAGAGGTTGTTAGTGAGACGAGTAGAGGTTGTTAGTGAGACGAGTAGAGGTTGTTAGTGAGACGAGTAGAGGTTGTTAGTGAGACGAGTAGAGGTTGTTAGTGAGACGAGTAGAGGTTGTTAGTGAGACGAGTAGAGGTTGTTAGTGAGACGAGTAGAGGTTGTTAGTGAGACGAGTAGAGGTTGTTAGTGAGACGAGTAGAGGTTGTTAGTGAGACGAGTAGAGGTTGTTAGTGAGACGAGTAGAGGTTGTTAGTGAGACGAGTAGAGGTTGTTAGTGAGACGAGTAGAGGTTGTTAGTGAGACGAGTAGAGGTTGTTAGTGAGACGAGTAGAGGTTGTTAGTGAGACGAGTAGAGGTTGTTAGTGAGACGAGTAGAGGTTGTTAGTGAGACGAGTAGAGGTTGTTAGTGAGACGAGTAGAGGTTGTTAGTGAGACGAGTAGAGGTTGTTAGTGAGACGAGTAGAGGTTGTTAGTGAGACGAGTAGAGGTTGTTAGTGAGACGAGTAGAGGTTGTTAGTGAGACGAGTAGAGGTTGTTAGTGAGACGAGTAGAGGTTGTTAGTGAGACGAGTAGAGGTTGTTAGTGAGACGAGTAGAGGTTGTTAGTGAGACGAGTAGAGGTTGTTAGTGAGACGAGTAGAGGTTGTTAGTGAGACG